TTCTCTTTATATACAGAAGATCAGTTTAGCATACATTAAGTAAAGATTTCAACAGTTTGCTCCCACACAGCTTCTGTCTGGGTCTCCGGATGCAGGGGCCCAGACTCTTAGGCCGTCTTCCACTCCTTTCCCAGGTGCATTAGCAGGGAGCTGGATTGGAAGTGGAGCAGCCAGGACACTGAACGGCGCCCATATGGGATGCCAGCATCATAGACAGTGGCTTACCCCTCTATGCCACAATGCCGACCCCTTATGTTTGGTTTGTTAAGATTTATTTATTTATTTGGAAAGCAGGGCAACAGGAAGAGACAGAGAGAGAGAGAGAGCGATCAATCTTCCAGCTGCTTGTTCACTCCCCAATGACTGCAACAGGCAGGTCTGGGCCATGCTGAAGCCAGGAGCCAAGAACTCCATCAGGTCTCCCACATGGGTTGCGGGGGCCAAGCACTTGGGCCATCATCTGTTGCCTTCCCAGGCACCTTAACAGGGAGCTGGATCAGAAGCGAAGCAGGGAAATAAAAAGAAGTGAAGCAGCTGGGACTCACAGGTGCACATTGATATAAGCTGTTTCTATTGTAAGCAGTGGGCAGCTTAACCCACTCTGCCACCATGCTGGCCTCTGCATGTGTATGTATGTATGCACGTGTGTGTGTGTGTTTTAAGGTTTACTTACAAGGCAGGGGGAGGAGGGAAGAGAGAGATGTATCTTCCATCTGTTTGTTCTTTTCCCAATGCCTGCAATAAATAGCAGGCTGAGCCAGGAACTGTGTCCGGGTGTTCCACATGGGTGACAGGGACTCAGAATACTTGAGCCATCATTTGCTCTCTCCCTGAATGTGCATTAGCAAGAAACTAGACTAGAAGTGGAGTAGCCAGGACTGAAATTGCACATTCCTGTGTGGGATGTGTGTGTCCCAAGTGGTGTCCTGCCTCTTGTAGTGAGGGCTTGAGAAAATCATTGTTTCTGGGTCCCAGGCTCCTCATCTGAAAGTTTGCAGCGAGCTGAATAAGCTGATATTGTTGATTAGGATCTGGCAGTTCTGTGATAATGGACTCTGGCTTCACTGATGGGGTTGGAATGCTGTGAATGTCACCTTATTGTCAACCTCTTGATAAAGGCCCAACACTTCTCACATAAATCAGTTAAGAGGTCTGTAGAAATCAGAGCTGAGAGACACCTGTTAAACCATCTAGTCTGTCCCTGCAGCAGTAGTACTCAGTTGTTCATAGCATGCACTTCAAGATGTTTCTTCTGCACTCTGCTTCCTGTGTCCTAGCCATTCATTATTTCTCCAGAGTCTTTTTTTTTTTTTTTGGACAGGCAGAGTTAGAGACAGAGAGAAAGGTCTTCCTTTTCTGTTGGTTCACCCCCAAAATGGTGGCTATGGCTGGCGTGCTGCGCCGATCCAAAGCCAGGGGCCAGGTTCTTCCCCTGGTCTCCCATGCAGGTGCAGGGCCTAAGGACCTGGGCCATCCTTCACTGCCTTCCCGGGCTACAGCAGAGAGCTGGACTGGAAGAGGGGCAACCGGGACAGAATCCAGCACCCCAACCGGGATTAGAACCCGGATTAGCCTAGTGAGCTGTGGCGCCGGCCTCTCCAGAATCTTGACATTTAAGTTCGCTTTTTCAGTAATTTAACAAAGGACTGTGACTTTTCTTCCCTTTACATTTCCCAGTTCTTTCTATTTAGACTTTACTTCTGGAAACTATAATATGCTGCTATGTTTTCCTTTAGAATCACAAAAAAATTTAATTGATAAGCAGTTCATTATCTAACAATCCTGATTTTTTTTTTTTTTTAAGTTTTACTTTACTTCTTTGAAAGGTAGAGTTACAGAGAATTTTCAGTCCGCTGGTTCTCTCCCCAAATGGCCTCAATGACAGGGCTGGCTGAAACCAGGAGCCAGGAGCTTCTTCTGGTCTCCACCATAGGTGCAGGGGCCCAAGCAACTGGGCTGTCCCCAGATGCATTGGAAGGGAGCTGATTGGAAGTGGAGCAGCTGGGACTCAAGCCGGCACCCATATGGGAAGCTGGCACTGTAGGCAGCATCTTAACCTGCTACGCCACAATGCTGGTCCCCCCATTTTTTTTTTTTTTTTTTTTTAAGATTTAGTTTATTTGAAAGGCAGAGTTAACAGAGAGACAGGAAGACAGAGAGAGAGAGAGAGAGAGAGAGAGAGATCTTCCATCCACTGATTACTTCCCAAATGGCCCAGTCTCGGCCAGGCCAGGCCACACCGTAGCCAGGAGCCTAGAACTCCATCCAGGTCTCCCATGTGGGTGGCAGAGGCCCAGGCACTCTGGCCATTTTCTATTGTTTTTCCCAGGCATGTTAGCCAGGAGCTGGATCAAAAGTAGAAGCTGGGGCTCAGACCAGCACTCATGTAGAATGACTGCGTTGCAGATGGTGGCTTGACCTGTTGCACCCACAACACTGATCCCATAATACTAATGATGAAGATCAGAAAAATGATGGGAACAGAAGTAAAATTTCAGAGTGAAGATTATGATTTTTAAAGTTAGTATGTTAAAAAAAATTACTAAGGAACCAGTGTTGTGGTACAGTGGGTTGGGCTGCAGCTTGCAACATCAGCATCCCATATCAGAGTGCTAGTTCAAGTCCTGGCTACTCTGCTTCCAATCTGGTCATCTTAGGAGGTCAGTAGATGATGGCCGAAGTGCTTGGGGTCCTGCCATCCCTGTGGGAGACCAGAGTAAGGTTCTTGGCTACTGGCTTCAGGCTGGCCCAGACTTGGATGTTGCTGCCTTTTGGGGAATGGACTAGTAGCTAGATAAAGATCTGTTTCTCCCTATCTCTTTGTTGTTTCACTTTTCAAACAAATTTTTTTTATTATTAAAGGTTTATATATTTATTTGAAAGGGAGAGTTGCAGAGAGAGAGAAAGGGAGATCTTCCATCCTCTGGCAACACTCCAAATGGCTGCAACAGCCTGAGCTGGGCCAGTCCGAAGCAAGAGCCAGGAGCTTCTTCCAGGTCTCCCATGTGGGTGCAGGGAGCCAAGTACTTGGGCCATCTTCTGCTGCTTTCCCAGGCCATTACCAGAGAGCTGGATGGGAAGTGGAGTAGCCAGGACTTTAACCAGTGCCCATATGGGATGCCAGCATCACAGGTGGCAACTTTACCCATTATGCCACAATGTCAGTGCCCAAACAAATCTTAAAAAAAAATTACTAAAAAAAAATGCAATAGAAAAATTTCCTTTAAACCGTTTAAATACAATACTCTAAAAAAAAAAAAAAACAAATAATTTAAGTATTTAGAGAAATAGGTACTCTGATTTCTGTTACTGAGGATGTAAATTTGTTTATTCTGTATTGGAAATACTTGACAATATCAATTGAAGAAAGATCATGCATGGTACCTTGAGTTCTGTTTTAAGGAATTTATCCTGTAAAAATACTAAGTGCAGCATTGTTTCTAAAAGTGAGAACTTGGAAACAATCCAAATGTTCATTCTTAGGAGATTAATTAATAAGTGATAGTACAGGGAAGATGTTTGACCCAGCGGTTGAGATGCCTGCATCCCATCTTGGAGTGCCCACATGTATTACCCATCTCTGTTCCTGATTCCAGCTTCCTTCACATAGATCCTGGGAGGCAGCAGGTGATGGCTCAAAGCAGATGCATCCTTTGCCACTCAAGTGGAAGACTTGGATTGAGTTCCCAAGTCCTGTCTTTGGCCTGGCCCAGCCCCAGCAATTGCAAGTGTGTGGGGATTGAACCAGCAAATGGGAGCTGTCACTCTTGTCTCTCTGCCTCTCAAAGAAGTAATTTTTTTTTTTTTTTTTGACAGGCAGAGTGGACAGTGAGAGAGAGAGAGAGACAGAGAGAAAGGTCTTCCTTTTCTGTTGGCTCACCCCCCAATGGCTGCTGTGGCTGGCGCACCGCGCTGATCCGAAGCCAGGAGCCAGGTGCTTCTCCTGGTCTCCCATGTGGGTGCAGGGCCCAAGCACTTGGGCCATCCTCCACTGTACTCCCAGGCCACAGCAGAGAGCTGGACTGGAAGAGGAACAACCAGGACAGAATCTGGTGTCCCAACAGGGACTAGAACCCGGGGTGCCGGTGCCACAGGCAGAGGACTATCCACGTGAGCTGTGGCGCCAGCCAGAACATTTTTATTTTTAAAATATGTATTTTTGTAATTTTTAAAAGCAATAAATATATATTTTTAAGCAGAAAAAAAGATAACCTTCTATGTATTTTTTTTAAAGATTTATTTTATTTATTTGAAAGAGTTACAGGGAGAGGTCTTCCATCCGCTGGTTCACTCCCCAAATGGCCGCAGTGGTCAGAGCTGAGCTGATCTGAAGCAATGAGCCAGGAGCTTCTTCTGGGTCTCCCACGTGGGTGCAGGGACTCAAGCACTTGGCCATCCTCCACTGCTTTCCCAGGCCATGGCAGAGACCTGGATTGGAAGTGGAGCAGTGGGACTCGAACCAGCACCCATGTGGGATGCTGGCAATGCAGGCCAGGGCTTTAACCTGCTATTCCAGAGTGTCAGCCCCTACTTTTTTTTTTTTTTTTTTTTTTTTTTTGACAGGCAGAGTGGACAGTGAGAGAGAAAGAAAAGTCTTCCTTTTTTCCGTTGGTTCACCCCGCAATGGCTGCTGAGGCCGGCGCACTGCGCTGATCCAAAGCCAGAAGCCAGGTGCTTCTCCTGGTCTCCCATGGGGGTGCAGGGCCCAAGGACTTGGGCAATCCTCCACTGCACTCCCGGGCCACAGCAGAGAGCTGGAATGGAAGAGGAGCAACTGGGACAGAATCCGGTGCCCCGACCGGGACTAGAACCTGGTGTGCCAGCGCCGCAGGCGGAGGATTAGCCTATTGAGCAGCAGCGCTGGCCTCCAGCCCCTACTTTTAAGTATTGTACTAAATTTTGATTTTAACTAAAAATAAAAGACTTCCCCTTGTGGTTGTTAAATTTGAGCTTATATAGAACTAAACACTTTATTAAAGTAACAATTTCTGTTTTCACAGCTAGAGTTGGGAAGACATCACTGATTATGTCTCTGGTCAGTGAAGAATTTCCAGAAGAGGTAAATACTTTGATTTCCTTTCCATATTCAAAAAATTTTAATTGATTGAAATTAAGTTAAAATGAGATAAGCTATGCCTTTTTTGCCATGTGATTTCTTTCTTACAGCTGTGACTTTTCTATGCTTGTATGCATTTTGTAGACTTCTATGCATTTTAGTTGATGGTGGGCCTCTCTGAGGAAGAACCTAACAAGACCTAAGTTCCCGAAGTCCCTTGTGTTGTCCACGTCAGACCTTGACTGGGATATTTGTCATCTTAGTTGTCTCACCTGTTAAATGGGAACTGAAAGAAATATAGATATCATCTAAGCTGTAACCCTTTTTCAAAAGTAAAATTATCCATAAGCTCAAAATATAACATGATGAATGTTCTATGAGTTCAAGTTAAGATGAAGGTTCTGGATCCCTACTTGCCTTCCACCTGACACTCCCTGGTCTGTGAGATATTTTTGTCAGCCACTAGAATTCTGACATACATATTTGAAAACCTTTATCTACTTGACTCATTGTACAAATGAAGAAACTAATTCATTCCACTTTTTCCCACCTCAAAAGCTTGTCGTGGATCTCAAGTGAGATAAGCTTAGTAACATTGAAGTACCACCAAAAAAATAAAGTGGCTTTATTATGACCGACAATTTATTTATTTATATTTTTGAAGTTCCAGTGTGAGGAGCTACTGGCCAAGTCCTTATGTAACATTAGGATATTGCTATGGGGAATGGGTTCAGTGCAATGAGCTGAAAAAGATTTCTCATTATTCTCTTTCACATAGTAAGTATTAGTGTTATAACTTGTACTTTTGCTTCTGTTGGCTTTTAGATAGGAATATCTTCATAATTTCATTATCCCAACAGGAATTTGATGTATCATGTGTATTCAGCATTTACAACTGTCATGTGGCCATTCATTGTTTCTTTTGCTGTTTTTTCCCTCTTAATTAATTAGGATAGTTAAGTAATTACTTAATTTGAGAGCTAAAGTATATTTTCACGTGTTGTTTCCAGGGAATCAGTAACATAATGTATAATCACTCAGAGTGTAATACCTACAAGTTTTCTGTGATAATTTAACTTAGTTTAGAATTATTTTAGCATAACTCTCCTGAATGTGGTTAAGTGTTCTTGATTAATTAAAAAATCATACAGTGGCCTAGAATTCAAGATACTGCTTGGCCTGCCTGCATTCCATATCAGAGTGCTTGGGTTTAAGTCCTGGCCTTGCTGCTGATTCTGGCTTCCTGGTGATGTGTACCTAGGAGGCAGCAAGGGGAGGCAGGAAGGTGATGGCTCAAGTATTTGGATCTCTGCCACTAATGTGGGACATTCAGATTAAATTCTTGGCTCCTGGCTTTGGCACGTCTGTACCCTGGCTCTTGGGGGCATTTGGGGAGTGAACCAGAGGTTGGGAAATATCTTTCTCTCTGCCTTTCAAATTAAATAAATAAGTAAATAAAAAACTAGAAAAAATCATATGATCTTTCTGAAAAATATAATCATTAAACATAAGGCTTATGTAGTCAATCAGTTATATTCTAGAAGAAATGCATTTTGATAATTTGAAGGTTGATTTGGATTAGCATAGTTCGTCATTTGGTTTAAACCTTCTACAAAGTGGAATAGAAACATCATATTTTGGGCCGGCGCCGCGGCTCACTAGGCTAATCCTCCGCCTAGCGGCGCCGGCACACCGGGTTCTAGTCCCGGTCAGGGCGCCGGATTCTGTCCCAGTTGCCCCTCTTCCAGGCCAGCTCTCTGCTGTGGCCAGGGAGTGCAGTGGAGGATGGCCCAGGTGCTTGGGCCCTGCACCCCATGGGAGACCAGGAAAAGCACCTGGCTCCTGGCTCCTGCCATCGGATCAGCGCGGTGCGCCGGCCGCAGCGGCCATTGGAGGGTGAACCAACGGCAAAGGAAGACCTTTCTCTCTGTCTCTCTCTCTCACTGTCCACTCTGCCTGTCAAAAAAAAAAAAAAAAAAAAATCATATTTTAAAAATCTAACATTTGAGGGGCCAACACTATAGCATAGTAGGCTAAGCCTCCACCTGTGGTGCCAGCATCCCATTCCCATGTGGACACCCGTTCAAGTCCCTGCTGCACTTCTTCTGATCCAATTCTCTGCTGCAGCCTGGAAAAACAGTAGAAGATGGCCCAAGTGCTTGGGACCCTGTACCCATGTAGAAGAACTGGAAAAAGCTCCTGGCTCTTGGCTCTGGATTGGCTCAGCTCTGGCCACAGTGGCCATTTGGGGAGTGAACTAGAGGATGGAAGACCTTTCTCTCTGTCTCTCTGTCTCTCCCTCTCTTATAACTCTACCTCTCAAATAAATAAATAAAATCTTAAAAAAAACTTAGCATTTGAAATGCCAAATTAATTTAAGAATTGTTTTAGTCTTCATCAGATCTGAGGTGTCCTTGCTATGTCTTGAGCCTACACAGCTGGAAATGTGTGTTTTTTGGAAAAAGTTTTGGTTGTACAGGTTTTTTTTTTTTAAATGTTTATTTATTTCAAAGGCAGAGTGACAGAAAGGGACACACAGATCTTTTACCCATTAGTTTACTCTTTACCCAAATGGCCACAGTAGCCAGATCTGGGCCTGGCAGAAGCCAGGAGCCAGGAGCTCTCATCCTTGTCTCCCACACAGATGACCAGGGCTCAAATACTTGGGCTATCTTCCACTGCCTTCCCATACCCCATAGCAGGAAGCTGGAGCAGAAGCAGAGAAGGCAGGACTTGAACAGGCACTCTGAGATGAGATGCCCATGTTGCCAGCGGCAGCTGTGTGCCTTGTAGTATTGTTTTAATATACATTTGCATCCTTGGTAAAATATAACACCAAGCATTTAGAAGTAAAACAGATACCTATAAGGATAGCTAGGAGTGAAAGGGGCTAATATAGATAAATTTACATAATGTATTAACAAGTTTGGTTGATAATATCCAAAGGTTTTTCCTTTTTTTATATTTGTTTGCAAATAAAGGTTCCTCCTCGGGCAGAAGAAATCACCATTCCAGCTGATGTCACCCCTGAGAGAGTTCCAACACACATTGTAGATTACTCAGGTAATCAATGTCCTCTTGTAGGTGAAGCTGTAGGGTTAGTTAAGTAGTTCTCAAAAAAGGTCCTTATTGAGCTTTTAAAAATATGCTAAGAGTGGTAATTCTTTCTCTGTGGAAGTACATGATCCTTTCTGTTCTTGCCTCACTTTTACCTCCTGCTCCACACCCTACTCAGAGCACCCATTTGACGACTACCCTATCCCTTATATTCCAAGTTCGGGTCCATAGAGGAAGGTAGTATGAGTCGGTAAGCCATGACTGCCCTTGAATCAGAACTTCGCAGAGAGAAGTTCTGGGTCAGCTTTGTTATCAGGCATTTAGATATGTTCTTATGATTTAGAGAATGTTCTTAATCTGAACATTTATTGAGTTCTGAATTTGTTCTTTAACCTGTCAACCTTGATCCCAAACAAAATAATAATTACAACGGTTGTGAGCTTGCTTAAATTCTATTAGAAAAACATCATTACTGATTTTAATAACTTAAAAATTTTCTACACACAACTGTTTACTTTTTAATCAGTAAATTATAATGTTTTATTCCTGAACTTAAGGGGAAAAAAGGGAGTATGAGTACTCTGATAATGCTTTGGCTAAGCTGTTGTTCCATATTCTAAAAAAATGGGCATCAGAATTGTGCTGTTTAAACCAAAGGCGGGGAACATCTGACCCATGGGCTGTATAAGGCCCTGGAAATCATTTGGTCTGGCCCTGCTTAGGCAACTGCAGGAGGACTCAAAATTTAATTAATCTGTAGCAGGCTAATTTTTAAGTTGATAATTTTGTATGGCCCCAAATGATGTTATAATTATCTAAGTGGCCCTTGTCAGAAAAAAGGTTCCCCACCCCTGATTTAGGTCATTGAACACTTGAAATGTGACTATTCTAAACTGAAATGTGCTGTAAATATGAAATAAAACTGGATTTGGAAGACTTAGTATGTAAAAAATCTCATTAATTTTCTATTGAGTGCATGTTGAAATTTTATATTTTTATATTGAGTTAAATATTAATCTTAAATTTTTATTTTTTCCTTCTTTTGAGATAACTACCAGAAAATATAAATTATATATGTTTGTCTGTTGGACAGCAATGTATGAAAAGCTGTAGGGAGATGAATGCCTTCTTTTGCCATCAGAATTGTAACTAGCTTTATTTAGAGAAATATTCTTTCTCGGTATGTGGAATTATATAATAGATTCCTTTCAGTATTAGAATTGAAGTCTTCACCATTGATTATTCAACATGTGAAAAGATATTAAACATATGATCCATTATTTAGCACCGAATAAAATACTCATATATGAGTTTGATGTCAGAAACAACAGACCTTTTTAGGGGAAGGCATGTAACCAAGGTGATCTAAATTACTATGTCAATAATTGTTTTGCTCATTACTTTGCTTCCTAATGCTACAATATCATGCATATCCCCTGCCTCTGTGGAATTGCGGGCATATTCACCCATGGAGAGCAGTTCTAGCCGGAGAGCCTTGTGTGTACTAGAGAGGGAATTCTTGATTCTTCGTTATTGTGCTCTGGTTTTCCTTCTGGACGGTGCTTACTATTACTATCACGTGCTGTCGAGATCTTAAGCTTGTATCATCCAGATTCCTACCCAGCCTTTGTAACCCTTTCTGTACAGACTCTGAGCTTCTGACACGTCAGCACTCAGTCTCGTAGCTTGGGTTTCGGATCCCCTTTGCCTAACCCTTTTCAACTCTGGATCAGTTGCTGGCATCAACTTATCACACAACGCCTCTGCTCGCCTGTGCCCGAGTCGTCCTCCTGTAGACTTGGCCTTCAGTGCTAGCCAACTTCCTTAGCACAGTTCAACCTTTCCCCTCCCCTAGCTTGCCCTTGTCTTTGCCACCTTGTCAAGTGTGAAACCATGTCATTTTGAGGAATATTAGGTGAGTGTCGCATGGATTTTAGCTTGACTGTTCATTTTTGTGGAAGTGTTTAAAATAGGAAACATTGGCTTTTTATCATTTGTAGAAGCAGAACAAAGTGACGAACAACTTCATCAGGAGATATCACAGGTGAGTTTATTTATGGGAAAACAGTAAAGATCATGTTGAGCAAACCTTTTTCATTCACTCAGGAGGACGTTTTCAATCTTTCTTGTTATTGCTGACTTTGAGTAGAGTTTGAGTATTTTTCCTGTAAGTCAGGAATTTTTTCTTCTTAGAGGCAAGCTAATTTTTAAAAATTTATTTAATATGTTAACCAGCTAGAACTGTTTGTATTTTTATTTAAAAATGCTGGGGTGTTTGGTGTTTGGCCAGTGGATGGGAGCTCTGTATTTCAAATAAAGTAGTAAGACACCCCCTGGGATGCCTGCAACCCATATTAGAGTGCCCGCGTTTGAGTCCAAGCTCCATTTTGATCTGCGCTTCCTGCTGATATACACTTGGGAGGCAGCAGATGATGGCTCAAGTAGTTGGGTCCTTGCCACCCACATGGAAGACCCAGATTGGCTTTGGCTGGCCTAGCTATTATAGACCTTTGGGGAGGAAAAAATATGGCAGATCTTTGTCTCTCTGTTTCTCTCTTTCTCTGTCTTTCTCTCTCTATCTCTTTACCTTTCAGAAAAATAAGTACATTTAAAAAATACATTGGATTGGGCAGCAGTTAGCCTAGCAGTTAAGATGCCTGCATCTCATATTGGAGTACCTGGATTCAAAACCTGGCTGCTGATTCCAGCTTCCTGCCAGTACAGACTTTGGGAGGCAGCAGTTACAGCTCAAATAATTGGGTTCTTGCCACTCATGTGGGAGACCTGGATTGAGTTCCCGGTCTTTGGCTTGACTCAACCCTATCCATTGCAGACATACAGGAGTGTGCTCTCTCTCTCTCTCTTTCTCTTTCTTTACCCCCCTCTCCCCTGTCTTTCTGCCTCTCAAATGATTTTTTAAATGCCATTAATTTGTTATTTTTTCTTCTAGGCTAATGTCATCTGCATAGTTTATGCTGTTAACAACAAACATTCTATTGATAAGGTATGACTGTGTGACTCCCCCCCCCCCCCCCCATTTAGTTAACTTGCAGTGTGGCACTTTCAAAGTTGATCCTCAATTTAGAATTTTGTGGGTCTAAGGAAAGTTTTTCAAAGACGATTTGTGTCATATCTTAACTCCTCTTAATTTTCATTTTAGGTAACAAGTCGATGGATTCCTCTCATAAATGAAAGAACAGACAAAGACAGCAGGTATTTTTTTTTTATTCTTCTCAACCTTTGTATTAGAAAATTCAAATGTGCAGGAAAGATACATGAAATAGTACAGTGACAGTCTGTAAACCTTCACTTAGATCCATCAGTTGGTAACATATTTTGCTACATTTGCTATATGTATGGGTTTCTCTTTCTGTTCATCCACCTCCACAAACCCCCACAGACCTTTTTTGAGGGGAATCATTTAAGGCCGAAAATATATTTGAGAGCAAAATAAGAAACAGAGCTCTGATAATATGATTCATTATTTCAGACAGATGAAATATTTTGATAATAAATCTTACATTTCTCTTTTTCAAGCTGCTACTTGAAAAATTATCTTTAGAATATATCTTCTGCCTGAACTGTATGTATCCTGTCTCTCTTTTTTTAAAATTTATTTTTATTTATTTGAAAGGCAGTTACAGAGAGAGAAGAGACAGAAATAGAGATCTTCCATCTGCTGATTCATTCCCCAAGTGGCTGCAAAGGCTAGGGCTGGGTTAGGCCTATGCCAGGAGCTAGGAGCTTCTTCCAGGTCTCCACGTGGGTGCGGGACCCAAGCATTTAGGTCATCATCAGCTGCTTTCCTAGGCACGTTAGCAGGGAGCTGGATCTGAAGTGGAACAGCCACAACACAAACCAGCGCTCATATGGGCTGCCAGCTTCTCAGGTGGCAGTTTAACTGGCTACACTGATGTGGGAAAGCTTAGATAATTTCAAGGTCATGAGCTGAAAGCTGCATCTCCTTCATTTTGTGTTGTCATGTTCATCTCTCTTTCTTTTTTTTAAACTTTATTTATTTATTTGAAAGAATAACACAGAGATAGAAGAAGAGGCAGAGAGAAAGAGAGAGAGGTTGTCCATCTGCTGGTTCATTTCCCAGATGGCCGCAACAGCTGGAGCTGTGCTGATCCGAAGCCAGGAGCCAGGAGCTTCCTCCAGGTCTCCCACACAGATGCAGGGGCCCAAGTCCTTGAGCCATCTTCCACTGCTTTCCCAGGCCATAGCAGGGAGGTGGATTGGAAGTGGAGCAGCTGGGTCTCGAACTGGCACCCATATGGGATGCTGACAATGCAGGCTAAACCCGCTACACCACAGCGCTGGCCCATCATCTACCTTTCAATCAAGGGACCCCTCCCCAGAAGTACTTCCTCTTACCTGGGTCATGGGGGTGGTATCACGGAAACACTTCTGTTTTTCCAAGTGCATAAAAAGCTAGGAAGAAGGGAAGCTTGCTCTCTCCTCCATGTGGACTTAGGGCGAGCGGAGCAGGATATGATAATTTCCTTTCTTTGACCCCGTTTTCCCTTAATAAAGCCCTAATGGGCCTGTGTGTTTTTCTCACTTTTAGATAAAGTTTATCACACTGTATGCCGTGGTTGGGCCTGTATTTAGACTTTTTCTCTAAGTAAAAGACAAAAACCTGAAAAATTAATTTAGTGCCCAATACCCAGCCCATAACAACGCCACAATGCTGGCCCCATGCCCTCTCTCTCAAGATACCCCTTGGGGAAGTGTGGTGTTCTGCATTGTCATTGATTTCTCACAGTGTGATATATAGAAGAACACAGGCCCTGGGGGAAGATGAACAGCCTTTGAGATCTTTGAGTTCTAAAGCCTTTGACTTCCTAGATTCCTCATCTGTAAGTGGAGATAAGGCTGAAACCTGTCTTATCTACTTGTGGTTATGTTGAGAATCAATGAAATCATGTATATGTAAGCTTTTTTTTTTTTTTTTTTTTACAGGCAGAGTGGACAGTGAGAGAGAGAGAAAGAGAGAAAGGTCTTCCTTTGCCGTTGGTTCACCCTCCAATGGCCGCTGTGGCCAGCGCGCTGCAGCCGGCGCACCGCGCTGATCCGATGGCAGGAGCCAGGTGCTTATCCTGGTCTCCCATGGGGTGCAGGGCCCAAGTACTTGGGCCATCCTCCACTGCACTCCCTGGCCACAGCAGAGAGCTGGCCTGGAAGAGGGGCAACCGGGACAGAATCCGGCGCCCCGACCGGGACTAGAACCCAGTGTGCCCGTGCCACTAGGTGGAGGATTAGCCTATTGAGCCGCGGTGCTGGCCTTTATGAGTTTTCTAGAAGTCTTTAGAAATCTTAGCAATGAATGTATGGAGATCTCTTTGCAGTTCTTGATAAGATAAAGATGAGATAGGGAAAATACAAGAGAATATGCATTCCATAGATTACAAATGGAAACAATTTTTTCTAGAAATATCATTTAATCGAACATAGTTTTTTATATAGCATTTGAGACTTCTTAAATGTTAAGAAAATCAGACTAATATGTGTTATATACATCTATATACATCTAGTTCTTTTACCAGGTTTTTAGATTTTTCTTTTTTAAAAGATTTATTTGAAGGCAGAGTTACAGAGAGGCAGAGGCAGAGAGAGAAGTCTTCTCACTGGTTCACTGCCCAGATGGCCACAATGGCCATAGCTGTGCTGATCTGAAGCTAGGAGCCAGGAGCTTCTTCCAGGTCTCCACGTGGGTGCAGGAGCTCAAAGACTTGGGCCATCTTTCACCTCTTTTCAGGCCATAACAGAGAGCTGGATCGAAAGTGGAGCAGCTGAGACTCAAAACAGTGCCCATAAGGGATGCTGGCACTGCAGGCAGCGGCTTTACCTGCTACATCACAGCACTGGCCCCACTTGGGCCATCTTATACTGCTTTCCCAGGCCATCAGCAAAGAGCTGGATTGGAAGTGGAGCAGCTGGGACTCAAACCAGGATCCCTCAGCGCTGGCCCCTCTTTATCATGGTTTTAAACTTTGTGGTGACTTAGTGACAAAGTAGAAAGAAAAGAATGACCCTCTAGGGCCATGTTGTCCAGTGTAGCAACTTCTAGTCAGTTGTGGAAATTTAACTTTAATTGCAAACAACTGAAATTTCAGTCCCTCTGACAGTCAGCTTTCAAGGGCTCAATCATCCATGTGTTATTGGTTAACAGTAACAGTAGAAAGAGCATTTCAATCATCATAGTATGTTGTGTTGGACAGAGCTGACTTACAAGCTCCAATGCCCATTTGTTGCTGACACCTGCTCTAGTCTGAGCCATTACCAGGAGGGATTCTTCAGAGAAGGCACTTTTGCCAGCATCCCATCCATCAAGCATCACCTTGGGCCATTGAATTAAACAATTTTGGCTTACTATCATAGCTTCCTGAAGTGCTGTGTCTATTTTGGTGGCACTTTTAGTACCATTTGGAAGTGTCTTTGTTACTTGAAGTTCTAATTTAGCATTCAGGTGTGACTTTGGTTCATGATTATGTATAAGCCTATCCCTGGACTTTTGTTTTTTCCTTTTTTTTTTTTTAATAAAAAGATTTATTTATTTGAAGTCAGAGTGACAGAGAGAGAAAGACACAGCACAGATAGACACACACAGAGAGAGAGAGAAGGGGAGAGAGAGAGATTGATTGATTGATTGATTGATCTTCTACCTCCCGATTCACTTCTCAAATGGCTGCAATGGCCAGATCTGAGCTGGACTGAAGCCAGGAATTCCATCCTAGTGTCCCACATGGATGGCAGAGGCCCAAGTACATGGGCTGCCTTCTGCCTTCCCGACACATTAGCAGGGAGCTGGATCAGAAACAGAGCAGCTGAGACTCAAATGGGCACTCTGATATGGGATGCCAACCACTGGCCCCTTTTTTTTCATTCCTTGAAACTCATGAAAATACTTATTTTTCTGTTTGTTTATTTGAGAGGCAGAGAGACACACACAGAAAGTTCTCATCTGCTGTTTTACTCCCCAAATACTTGCCACTGCTGTGGCCTAAGAACTCAATGCTGATCTCCCACGTGGGTGGCAGGAACTTGACCCCTGATCTCTGCCTCCCAGGGTCTGCATTAGCAGGGAGCTGTAGTCAGGAGCCCCCACTGGGAATCAAACCCAGGCACTCGGATCTTGGCATCTTTTTTTTGACAGGCAGAGTGGACAGAGAGAGAGAGACAGAGAGAAAGGTCTTCCTTTGCCGTTGGTTCACCCTCCAATGGCCGCCGCGGCTGGTGCGCTGCGGTCAGCGCACCGCGCTGATCCAATGGCAGGAGCCAGGTGCTTCTCCTGGTCTCCCATGGGGTGCAGGGCCCAAGCACTTGGGCCATCCTCCACTGCACTCCCTGGCCACAGCAGAGAGCTGGCCTGGAAGAGGGGCAACCGGGACAGAATCCGGCGCCCTGACCGGGACTAGAACCCGGTGTGCCGGCGCCGAAGGCAGAGGATTAGCCTAGTGAGCCACGGCGCCGGCCTGGATCTTGGCATCTTAACTGTTTTTTTTTTTTTTTTTTTTTTTCATTCATGTCGACAGGCAGAGTGGACAGTGAGAGAGAGAGACAGAGAGAAAGGTCTTCCTTTGCCGTTGGTTCACCCTCCAATGGCCGCCGCACCGCGCTGATCCGATGGCAGGAGCCAGGAGCCAGGTACTTATCCTGGTCTCCCATGGGGTGCAGGGCCCAAGCACCTGGACCATCCTCCACTGCACTCCCTGGCCACAGCAGAGAGCTGGCCTGGAAGAGGGGCAACTGGGACAGAATCCGGCGCCCCGACCGGGACTAGAACCCGGTGTGCCGGCGCCGCTAGGCGGAGGATTAGCCTAGTGAGCCGCGGCGCCGGCCTTAACTGGTATTTTAACCACTAGGCCAATTGCCTGCTTCAGACGAGTATACTTATTTTTCATGTTATTGACTGTTCTGAGGTGATTTTTTTTTTTTTAATTATATGGACTTTGCAGTTTCCTTTTCCCCTCATGCCTTCAGTTTATATTTGTTACACATTTTTGTTAGGACTTTCTTGGACCATTGCCACAGTGGTGCTTAATCAGAGAAGCTCATGACTGTCGCCTGAGGCACTTAACAAAACTATATGGCTAAGGGGGCAGGCACTGTGATACAGCAAGTTAAGTGCCAGTTCAAGTTCTGGCTCCTCCTCCTCAGCTTTCTATCCAGCTTCCTGCTCATTGTGCCTGGGAGGCAGCAGATGATGG